CAAAAATACAGCAGTGATGTCATCGTGTCAAACCGATCAATGACGGTTTTGGGAGTGTGCCATTAAATTATAGTTAGCACTGCCTCACCTAAAACACATAAGACACAATGACCTCTTAAATTGTTTTTATAATTTTATAATTTAACACTTCCCATCCGATATTGAATATTGTCTAATATTGTAAACTAGTGTCTTCAAAAATAAAACTAGAAAATTGCAAAAATTGTGTTAAAAGAAATTGAGTGTCCTCTCAAGTGTCTTGTCCTTAATGAATCACCATATAAATACATATATACATATAATTATAATTACTAGTTTTATCACTTTTCTAAATACATTGAACCCAGATTTCGAAAAAGATATACAAACTGCTTGCTTAAGTATTTGGTCGAAAATTGAGTAGATGGAAATCTCATTAATAACTACAAACAACCGACGCGTGTACATACAAATTTTTAGTGTTGAACGTTACAAATTTCAAAATAGCAAATAGAAGATAAATACAAAAATATAGTTTTGGAGGACCTTAGCCAAAAGCCGAGAAGCATATTATTGACAACACTATATTTTGTTAATACACCGCCGACTACAATATTATTACTGTTTTTGGACTTACAACCGCGTACATAATAATGATATGTACTAGACGGATTTTTTTAAACAACAGTTTTTGTTTTGTTTTGTCCACACAAAAGAGGTATAGTAGACGGCGACAATTAAGTAAGAACGATAAAAAAAACAAGTATTACCCACCAGTATTACTACCCAGGGACCGTCGGTGCAGTGTAGTGTGTGTGTATATTATGTATCTTGTGTAGGTACACATTGTAATGAACATAGGTACGACCAAACGACATATTATACGGACAAGAACGAGACCGAATAATATTTTTTTTTTTTTTTTGTAATTGCTGTGGTAACGACCAGGCGCCACCTGTTCCTTCTCGAGTCCACGGGTCCCGCCATTTGTATGTAAACTCTGTATCCTACTGTATACTAACACACATATAATATACATATATATATATATATATATATATATAGGCCCGACATTATTAAGAGAATACTATTATGTCGCTGCCATTCCGCACAAGTATCCGACAAGCAGGATAATAATATTATACAGGTAGGTAGGTATGTAGGTAGATATGTGTATGTATGTTGTACACACAAGGCAATGCGTTTATATATTATGCTACCGCCCTTGCTTCGTGTCTCCTCTGTCGGCTTGTGCACCCATTGTCTTAAGGAGGTACACGCACACTGGCCGGCTAGGACCGAGTCTCGACAATGATAATTATTATTAAAGAGAAAAAAAATAACGGACAAAACGTATTGTATATAATTGTCGATGGAAATACCGAGCGCCGAGTAATGAATTTTAATTACCCTCTTTCTTTTTTTTTTTGTTCTTTATTATAATGTACATAGAGGTATATGTAGGAGACCAACAGGAATTCATCACAGCCGGACCGCCGCATGCTTTTCAGTCCGAATATGTCAAGCCACGTCCAAATGTCTAAGCGCAATGCTGATCACATTCTTCGGGTGTCGTGTATGTGTGCCGCCCAAAAAAGACCACCTAACGAGCGGCTTGTAAAATAAGGTTAAAATATTTTTAATTACAGATAAAAAAAAAAACGTTTTTACATCGTCGTAGAATGCACCCGGGTAACAATGTAGTCTTCTTTCCATTATGCAAGATAGTCCCGAACCTTGTATGGCCTTCAAAACAAAGAGGATTCAATTGCACACTCCTTGTAATGAAATAGCCAACAGTACAAAACACAGATAAATCTATTAAAAATATTTAAGTTGCAGTTTTTCTTATTGTACATAACAGTTTGATATTATTACATTAGACTAATGTTAAATGCTGTGTACATACAAGGTTAAGTAGAAAATACACGGCACATTCAGAAAGTAAGGTTTCCTACCCTGTAAAGACAAAAAATGTTTTTAAATACAATTTCTAGAGCCGGTTTAAAAAAAAAAAAAAATTGGGGTTGAAATTTAAAATATGGTACAGCTGTGATGGTAAAAATGAAACTTCTGTATGGATAATTTAATTAATTTGTTCCTAGCAGTGGTAATATAGACATAGTCCTTTTGGCTATTCCTATCAGCTCCCCATCGTATCAAACATTTTAGATTTGATAACATCCCTAACGACCCAATGATCGAACTCGGGTCTTAAGTAGTAAACGCGGTTCTAATAGCAGTTGCACATTATAATATTGTAAACGCGCGTTGACTAGCCCTTGTAGTAGTTGTTTTATAGCGATTGCATTTATAAATTATCGCTCTGTTGAAATCCGACCGAACGCGTTTGCTCGGTTACCATAACACATATTATAGCAGTATTATATAGTTATATATGTATATAAAGATATTAAATAGTAATTTATACTACTTTTATTTTATAATATATTATGCTTTGCCGTGCGCAGTTGTTCCCGATTCCTTATAAGGAACGGTCAACTGAATTCGGATTCGATATTAATATCGAAGCGGTTTTCTATATGGAATTTATATTAGACATATTGATATCACATATAGCGGGCCCCCAAGTCTTATAATATAGAATGTGTTGTTATGGCCAAAGTCGATGGTAAAACAAGAAGAAATATCGCAAAACCATATATCCGGTTGTTTATATAGCAGTTATATATCACAACATGGGTAATATTCTTATTAGCAACAATCACGCGATAAAGACAGGACAGGTTCGAGGTTTGTCTTGACCAGTGAACCTACACAATTGGTTTTCATATTAATATATAACAACTGTGGTTTGTGTTTTTCAAATTTTCTTAACGATTGAACTAAAATGATGGCTTTTATTGTTAGGTCAATAGAGAAAAACCTCTCCAAGCATCGTGTACTCCTAAGTCCTAAATATCAATACCGGAAACGACTTAACAAAATATTATATCTCTCTTGACGGGCTTGTACGGCAGTTTAAAATTTTTTATTGTTCTTGTGTGTACACAAACGGTCAGTTTTGATTTTCCGAAGGCAACTAAATCTCTATAATATATTACAATAATATAGCGAACGGTGAGACAGTACAACAATGCGTGGTCGTTGTGACCATCTTTCGGTAGTAGGTATTCTTATATTATTAATACGTCGTAGAGTGTAGACTCAGTGTAAATATATATATACAAGGTACACCGATCTTAATAATATGTGTAGTATATTATTATATTATTCTGTGTACACGGGCAGCAGTATAGGTCTTCATCGGCCGTCCGTTGTTCTTCTTGCATCCACCCACCCTGTTATTGTTCACCGCCCGCGAGGAAAGGCGCGGACGATGCGACCACCGCCGCCGGGCATATTATCTCTGCTGTATATACCTAAGAGTATGCCTAAGTGCACACAACTCATATATATATATATTTTATATACATTTTGTTATGTCCACCCGATGACAGTACCTACACGGACAGACCGACTAACCGCCGGGCATTTTTTTTATTATGACTCTTCTTCTTCTTCTATCGATCCTCTGTGTATATATCTTGGATCGTTCCATCACTTTGCACACACACACACATGCGTGGAACATTGGTGTATATATATATATATATATATATACCCTAACCGGATTGGTGGTCATAATAAATAATAATTATTAATCACTCGCCTGAGTGTGTGTTTGTTTTACCCAAGACGGAGAAAGACGAGAAGGAGGAAGAGGTAAAAAATAAAAAATATATACATAAATCATCGTCTCGCTGCCGTCGCTGACCGTTTTAGATATTATTATGTATATATCCATACGGACACTAACCGGCTTAAGTATATACCTATATAATATAATATATACGCTTTATGATAGACCGAGTTTTTGTACAGTATTGTGTGTTATATTATATTATTGTTATTATGTGCAGAGGTATTTAATAAAACGATAATCTATCGTTCTTGGTGCCGCCCACTCGATCGCGAACCTGTGCGTTTTTTACAACAGTTTTGCACGATTTTCCGTTTAGAAGAGATTTTAAAATATATTATAATATGTCACTCGGTTGTGAAAGGTACCGGCTGTGAGAGACAACTGAAACGTTTATAATATTGTTAAATTGTAAATTCATAAGCCAGTGTACAAGTCAGTCAATACGGCGAATAACCCTACCAACAGCCAAAAAACATCACGGATAATGCAATCAAAATAAATATAATAATAATGGCAAATTAATTTGATTGTTGGCGCCGCGCCGTGTTGAAAATGCAACTAAACATGCACCTGAAATTGGCGAGTACACTGGCTTGCATCGCGGAAGCTGGAAGGCGTCACTGCACATTTTAGTGTATTTTAGATTTAAATATATTTTCAAAAATATCTTTATGTTCCGACGGTTTTAAAATAACATAGGTTTTCATTTTCGAAAAAATCTCTGCACTATTAATAGTCAATATGTTATCATAAAATGACAGTGTGAAGTACGACGCGTACGACAGAAAAATGCCAACTGTGAAAAAACAACAATTATTGTAGCAACCAGGTTTAGGAAAATTCTGAGTAAAAGTAAAAATTCATGTGTTGATTCTCTAGTGAATGATTTAAATGTGCATACAAGTGTTACTTGAAACGTTATCCTTAAAATAAGGCTAATCAAAGTTGGCTAAAAGTTTTAAAGCAAAAAAAATTGTATATAAAATAAATATCAGTATAACCGACTTGATTTTAGAGTTAAAAAAAACCACAAAATTTTGAAGAAATTCAATTGTTTCTTTTTGATTTTTAGAGCTCAACATAGTGCTTGGCCATCGTTTTTATAAACTTTTAATGGCCTTTCAGTTTGTCTGACTTATGTGCAAGTAGTCGCAATGATGTATAAATTATAGTTGCTCGTTTACCCGATTAAACGGTTAGAATATTGTCAATCATTGAACACAGAGTTATCAAACATTATGGTTATTATGAAATTTTATACGTTTGTTATATTATAGAATTTTTGTTTTTTTTTCAATTTCACGAGCATACTTCGTTAAAACCAATTAAGAGCGGACAACAAGGGGGCACACAGGGTAAAGCAACACATGGCAGCAGTGCACAAAGCCGACGGTAACCGCCGGTGGGCTTTTCCGACGGCTTTCCCGCAAGGGTTAACGTTGAACTCAACGCCGTAGAAGGCTCCGTCACTGTCGTAGTATGTGTCGGGCAAGTCGGTTATCGGCGTGGTGATCTCAAACGATCGGTCTGTCGTCGAACTGTCCATGGTGGTAGACTCTTCTTCGTCCGTGTCGCCCACCATCAGATCTATCGTATCGGTTTTGACCACGTGATAAATCCACGGTAAATAGTAAGACACGATGGAAAAGTGTTGTACGTTAATGCGTCGGTCGTCGTTGCGATCGGGATGCAGTATCGGTCTTTCGACGTAATCTGCGATTTAAAATTTAAAAAAAACACTGTGAAACCTAAAATATATATAAAAGGTGTCTCGAAAAGAACGGCGGGATATCAAACGGCTGTAGGTGGTGAAGTATTGGACCTACAGCGCTCCGGTAGGGCTTCAGCAAAATAGAAAGTTGTCAAGTTTCCAATGACCGCCACAAGATGTCTCTTCACGTTCCCGTTTGTGTCGCCAGCCTTCATTGAAACATCTAGTGGCAGTTGTTGGAAACTTGACAACTCCCTCTTTCATTGAAGCCCTGCCAGAGCGCTGTAGGTCCAATACTTCACGACCTACAGCCGTTTGAAACCCCACCGTTCTTTTTCAGACACCCTGTACATATAGGTGAACTACATATAGATTTCAATTAAACTCAATGTACTATAAATATATACGGAACGCGGAGAGCTGCTGACCACAGAATACAATTATTAACTAAGATAAAATGTAAGTGACAAAAATCTAGTTTTTAACTATGACACAATAATATTTTTCTGTGGTCAAACGGAAAAGTTCTACATGATTTTTGGGTAGTCTTTAGGATAAACATTTTTACTAAACAGTCTTAAACAAAATATATATACCTACTACCTAGTAGATATTTTCTTCCAGAAGAGGTAGATACTTCTCCTTTTAGAGCCTTATTTAGCGTTTTTGGTGTATAATTAGTAATATACTGAAGTATTATTATTAGTAAGTACTTTCTGAGTTCGTCTGACCTCCATGTTCAGAGACCAAAATTGAGACAACAGAGATAAAAAATTGGTATACGGAATGGCTGCTTCCCAGGTGGGGACATATTTCAATCTGAATACGCGTTCCATTTATAGTATACTATAGTTTAGTGGATAAAACCTTAAAGTTTGAAACTTACTAGACCATATATGAAAATTACGATTGCCAGAACCCGCGACATGCTTGACCGGGTTCCAAATATGTTCATTTTCAAAAGCGAAAACTCCCATAACAGTGTCATAGTCCATGTTAATTAATAGTCCGTGATCGGGAAAGAGATTTTTACGGTTGTCGTACATGATTACAGCGACAAATATATATGTTGTACGTGGCCTATAAAATAGAGAAATAAATCATATTAATTAGCGTAGAAAGACTGGAAACATTAACACGGGCCAGTGAAAAATTATTACCACTATTTTAATTGATTTTTAAAATTTCTAAGGGGCCAAACATAATAAAACAAATTCTACATATGAGGTACTGTAATTACTTAAGTGGAGCGTAATCGTCTTCCATTTTGACATCCGTAGATCGGAATGGTCCCAAAAAGACACCATTGTAATATCTAGGTGCATTGGACACATTTTTGCAAACGTCTAACACGGGATAAGTATGTTTGTTTCTAAATGGACGCATCAGTGTCGTGTCTTTCTCCGTCATCGATTCTTTCCAACGTGTTACACCACGTTTATGCGACACTGCAACCAAAAACATTGATGTCGATAAACTCGAGATTTCTTTAACCGTCGATTACTGGCCAGAGTCAAAATAACGGTACATGCAAGTATGATGTAACCTTAACGGAGACTCCACGCCAGCACACTCTACTAGTTATTCCAACAGAAGCCAAAGCTGATGTGGAAAACATGTATTTAAAGGAGGTTAAACCTAACCGCACCAGAGAGTGGGCACTGATACTGAATATTGGCTCGGTTGTCGGAAGGTGATGACTCTTTGGTTCCCTCTGAGAGACTAAAAGTTGGGCTCGAGTGGACCACATTATATAGTCACATGCTATGGCATGGTCGTTGTTGATTGGTCGGGGGTGTGGTCAGTGGTGGTGTCGAGTACTACCATTGGCTGAGGGGCCGGCCGTAGTAAGAACATTGCGTTGCTGCGGCAACAACAACAACTATGTAAGCAAAACATTGGTTTTTCCGTAGCTAAAAATAGTTTGCACCGTAACGTGACAATGACCATAATGACTCGACTAAATTTTTTTTTTTTTTACCAAAACCGTAATACGGTTCGGGCCTCGTTTCCAGTTTAATATTGTTTTTTGGATACACCCATTTTTTCGGATTGTCAATAGGATTGTTCAGCCCGTCGTCCAAACGCAACACTGCGATGTCGCCAACTCTATATTGTGGTTCGTACCTGGGATGGATGAACCCCAAATCTTCAGGGTCAACATGTTTTAAATTATCTTTAGACTGACATGGCTCTGAGAAGGGATTTCCATGCAGACACACCTGTATTGCAAAAACAAATATAGGTATAAGAAATATCTGCCCACAAGACATACAGCTTTAACTTTGTAATAAACGCCAGTCCTACTACACACTGACAGTGACTAGCATTTGTGTAATAATAAAATCTACAACAATTTTGTCGTCAGTATTTTAGATAACTCAAATTTATCAAAACTTAACAAAATTAAAATATAAATTGTAAATATTGGAACCTAGATAAAGTTCTCGTTGTTTTAAAATATGTAAAAAAAATTTGTCTACGATTCATAATTTCATAACAAAATCATATTAAACTGCCATCAAGGATGCTGCGAAAGTCCTAAATATAAATTAACCACAAAAATATAGTCCTGATTACTCAACTAATAATTCACACATCACACTTTAATCTTGTAATGATGATTTTAATAAAAAAAATCTAATACATAACTCTTTATATAATAGCACCTTATATTATACCTCTTATCTATTACCCCCTATATCCTATCTCCTATCTCTTACCCTATCTCTAATCTCTTATCTCTTATTAGATAACAGCGTAACGCTTTTGCCAGAGCAAAAAAACATATTTTAAACCTTAATTACTGGTCGCCATGGCTGCAGATTTTTATTTGTTGATCTTTATTTTGTCTATTAAGAAAACGTTACACGAATTGATACCAATACTACCATGATCGTGTCAGTTATATACTTATGTGAAACGACTTACCGTGATGCTTTCAAGTTTTGGTACTGACACAAAAGAAGCCCCAATCAATACGTGCTGACAGCTTGGAAACGTCGCGTTCTTCAACTCATATTCAGAGCACAATAAATATCCATGGACTTGTATTGTAGTGCCATTTGCGACGATGGTCACGCCCACGATCCCGTCTTTGTCGAAGGTTCTTATCTCTCTTTTGTTGTCTCTGTCGAGTTTTTCTAAGTAATCCCAATTCGGTTTTCTGTAGTCGTCAATGCGGAACGCACCGTCGGCCACACCGTCAAACCACACTGTCAGCAAAACGACAATTACCCTGACAATTCGGTACATCTTATCTAGTCACTCGATCACGGTTAAGTAAATGACATAACAAGTAAACACCAAGCCGGATTATAACACTAACAAACTTCCGCTTAGCAACGCGGTTATGTTGGTATTTCTTATTTTTATACTTGCACATAATTAATAGTTCGACCAATTATGTGGTACTTGATACTATACTTGATTATGCAAAAGCTAAAATAAAACAGTTAAAGCGTTTAAACACATAATAGGTACTATTATTATTTTGTGATCACCACGTAAATCTTCTTTGTACACATATATGTAGTATTCAACTAGGCCGTGTACTATACTAAATTTAAAGTTAAACCCAAATTAGCCTTCAAAATCTACATCCTAATCATTTTTCAGTTGCAGACTCTGTTTGGTCCGATGCGTTTCACTTATTGTTTTCTTAATTTTACAAATTTGTCATTTTTCTTTTTCTAATAACATGTTTTCACTCTATTGTTAATTAACAGTTAAATTTGTATTACAGAAACAATTATATTTTTATTCACACTGGAAGTGCAATAATTGATAAAAAAAAAAAATATTATTATTACATTAACTACAAATCAAAACGTTTGTAAAAAGAAAAGAAAAATTAAATAACGGCGCATATACTTAGTTTTCACAGAGTATGTTGAGTTGCAGCCAGTCCAGAGTTTAAGGGGTATTAGCTGTGTTTTATTAATATGCTTATTGCAGGTTTTGCAATTTGCCCAGTTATAACATTTTACACAATAACATACACATACATATTTTATGTACCTAGTTATTGTTAATTGTTATACACTTGAGAAGTGTTGCGGCTTGTGTGTTAAAATGTCTAAAATAAAACTAATAGTTTACACTATTATTTCATCATTATAACGGTATATTATATTTTATCTAGATAAAATGTGTTATATATTTTAATAAAATAATACAAATAGAAATATCGAGTATGGTATGTATGTACAATATTATGTATACTAGATAAATAAATACAAATGTAAAGCCTATTGTGACGGGCGAGGTGCATCGTGTACAACAAATTTGTGGTGAAAAAAACACACATTTTCTCTCTTTCTCTCTTCATTTTTTTTGATTATTATTAAAATTTGTTTAAATTCTACCGTCTTAAGTTTACAATCAACACAGAAAATATTTTATAATTTGTTTTATGTACAATATTACAGTGGAGTTTGTGTGTGCCATCGGTTCAGTGCAACTATTTACAGGAAACCCATGTCCAACGCGTTGTAGAGTGCTGCCAGATCATTGCGAGACGAAATTCTCCAAAAAGGAAAATTCAACTGCAAGACAAACGATTAAAATAAATAAATAAATTCTTTTTTTGTAAAAAGTACAAAACTAACCTTGGCATTATTTTTTTGTTTAAACAAAATCTCAAATAATAAATACAATTTTGTTTTTACACAAATATCCAAACAATGATTTCGAATTATATTTAAAATATAACAATAAATCACTGTGGCACCGTGTGTGATTAAAATTAAATCTCTTGAATGATAATTATTGGATCATGGTACGTTGTCTCTTATGGAAGGTTATCATGTTCATGTTCATTTTCCTCATTAAACGTCCTGCTTCTCCTCCCCTCTATCCCTTCTCTTCTCCATCATACTCACTCTTCTCCTCTCACTTTCCTATACCTATCCTCTCTTCTCCCTCGCTTTCCCTCCCCTCTTTTCTCCATCTCGTCACAAAATAATGCCAGGGTATAGTGACACATAGCACGGTCATATCGGGTACCTGTCTGGCCGCGGTTTCCTCTTCGTGCCCGTCGCCGATCACCACGTACGTGCACTTCCGGCCGAACCTGGCCACGACACGTTCGAAACACGAGTCCTTGCCGATTTTCGTGGCCGAATAGATGTTGTCCACCTGGAACAACCCACCGAGACCGTACAGCAACACTTTGGACAGGGCCGGTATCAAATGAGTGGTGGTCACCAGAACGTTTACGCAGCTCGGCCTGCGAAAAAAAAACGGTTACAAATACAATTCCTACTCAAGTACACGTTTGCGACGGTCCGTCACCGCCGCCGTCCACTTACCGAGAGTTGATAAGGCCTAAACACTTAATGGCCATCGTCAGCCAATCGTCGGTGTGCAGTTCGATGTCGGCCCTCAGCTGCAGCCAAGCGTCCCTTTTGCCGGGTCCCAGGAGTCCTGTAACGCGAACAGCCTGTCGTTATTTGAAGTCTAAGATGAAGTCCTTTCCCTCCCATAGCTCATGTAAAACTCGGAAAGTATGATACGCGACCCCCCCCCCTCCCTATTCGAGAACGACCGGTAGGATTTAAGCTTTTTGATTTTATATATAAGTCGAAACAAGTAAAACCAAAAAGTGACTAACTAACAATTTATGATTTTTTTTTTAAAAATAGTCTCTTATACCTATAAATAATTTTTTGCAACTGATCTAAATACTGTGAATAAATGAATAATGTGCTAGCACAAAAAATGGGGGTTTTTAGAGAGAAGATATCCGAGAGTAGGGTTAGGCCAAGATAGGACTTAGGAATACTACTGTTTTTACCTCCGACGGAATTGCGGTAGTTGTTGTAGAGTTCTTTGATCTTCCTGTAGCGAAACGCTAGCTTGCGCATCCAGTCGACACCGCCGCGGACCTGCGAAGAAGAACCGGCGCCCTGACCTCCTGCACACCCTCCGCCTGACATCATGTGATGGTGTTGCCCGTGATGCTGGCTGTGGAACCCGTCGGTGCTGAAGTTGTAGCCGTTCAGGTCTTGTCCGTTGTCGTCGGACGCCACGTCGTCGATGTGCACTTGATCGCATTCCTGTAGAAATCAACGTTAAGCCCAACTTACACACACACACACACACACACAACCACTCATCAAAACTCTTAAACAGTCGGACTCTTACTTCGATTTCGTTGAAGAAGAAACTGTTGTCGGCCAAATTGAATATCATCTCCTCCATACGGTAACCCAGCGGTTGCATGACCTGTTGGTCCTGTATGACAAAATCAAAAATTAAGGGTTAATAGTGTTTTTGACTAGGCATTCCTCAAGTATTATCGTATTAGTAGTGTTCAGCATAAAAATATTATGAATTTCAGGCTTTGGCAGAAGGAGAGGAGGAGGGGCGAGGTCTAAAGGCTAGGGAAGTTCAAATTCTAGACATTAAACAGCCTACGGTTGTACTTATTTAGCGCTCTGTTTTATAGGTAAGTCCCGTCTACAGCATGTGTCTGCGAGCTTAACGTACTTTGGAATGGTTGGTGGCGAAACCGCCGGTCAACAGCGAATTGAATATGATTATGGTCTCGTCCAGGTCCCAAATAAACACCCTTTCAAGCTGCTGTTGTTGACAGTCTCCCGCCGTCGTCGTGTTGCCGGTCGATTGCAAGGGCGACGGGTTATTGACCAGCGAAGCCAAAGGCCCGCCTGCGTTTGCAGCTACGGATCTCCTGCCACGACCACCTCGGTTGCTGCCGTTACCACAACGACCTGTGAAATCAATGTGTTTCCAAAAAGTAGAGAAAATGTTATTTTTATGATGTTTTCATTGATAAACATACCGCCGTTGTCGACTAGTCGGCGGCCACCACCAGACGTTGTTGATTTGACGGGTGACGACGGCGACACAGAAGTCGGTGGACTGTCTGCAAAGATAAAAACACACATGGAAAAGTCAATGCCAGTTGTCATTTCAACAATATTATTTGGTGTTCGGATTGGATACCTAATGCTATTCAATAGACACATCAATAAGGGGTGGGTTGAGTCTCGGTTTTTTTTAATCAATAATCGCTTTAACCCTGACGTGGATTCTGGCCATTGACTGAAACTATTACAGTCTAACAGACACGAAAAAGAGATCCGAGATCGATTTAAATGATGAATAATTGGTCGAACAGCTGTTCAAGGCAAGGAATATAGGTATACAAGTATAAGTGAACGGTTTGAGATGGCGTTGGCGATGAATGTTAAACGAAAACATGTACTTTTATGTTTTTATGCAAAAATAGGGCCTGTATACGTTATAAAAGTTAAAAAAGTATCTCAAAACATGTATGCCCTTTTCTAGTGTATAACAAATATTATATGTTAACAAATTTTAGCTTAAAAATCGCCTTAACAAATGCTAGTGTAAAAACTCCTTATGCTCATTTTAATTGTGCCAATAGTAATTATGTTTTGGTTAATGGTCATAACGGAGTTGTCCAAACTGATTACTGATAATATCACGAATTCATTGCGGTGGATATGATTTGCCTTGTACTTACTTAACCTACTTAGTACTTTAGCTAAACTTAATATTATTTTAGTGTATTTTTAAACATACCTGGTTGGAGTACACCCACGACCGGTTGCAGTTGGCCGTAAGTGGGCGGATTGCTGCCATAGTGTGCGGACGGTGATGAATAGCCGCCAGGACCTTGGGACGCGGCTGATGCTGCGGCGGCGGCTGCTGCAGCAGCGGCCGCATAGTAACTGGCCACCGCGGCGGCTGCTGTACTGGCCGACGATTGATGATGGTGACCACCACCGACAGCACCGTGATGTCCGCCGACCTGATGTCCAGCGCCATGATGTCCGGCTGTCGTAGAATACCCGGCCGTCGACCCTCCCCCTCCGCCGTATCCTCCCGTATAATCCTGGAAATTATTTATTAACCGCCTTAGTTCGGACTATTGTACAGTGCACAGAAAAGCTCAAAAAAAAAAATTGAAGAGAAGAGTTTGGCCATTATTGTGATCCACACACGTGCTCGCCACTCACCTGTTGCGCCGCAGCAGCAGCGGCCGCTGCCGCAGCGACGGCAGCCGCGGAATAACAACTCTGTCCGCCACCGCCGCCGCCGTTGTACACTCCGCCGACACCGTTGTAACCGCCTGAATAAGACATGACATTGTTGACCATTAGGCCGCCGCCGCCACCGCCGCTGGTCAACTGTTGTTGTAGTGGCGGCGAAGAGGGAGGTCCGTACAGGCCGGTATACGCCGTGCCAATACCGCCGTCGTCATGGTGCATGTGGTGCATGTCATGATGGTGATGATGACTGTTGTGGTAATCACCGCCGCCGCCGTTTTGTTGCATCTGGTGATGGTGATGCTGTTGTTGTTGGTGATGGGGGAATTGGTGAGGATGTAGATCCAATTGTTGCAAGTGGTGTTCGGCGCCGTTTTGCAGACCCTGGTGCTGTTGATGTTGCAACAGCAAAAGGGAATCGCCGGCACAAGGTGACTTTCTGGCAATGCCGGTGGCTAAAACACAAAACAAGTAAATGAGTAAATTTGAAAATAATATATCGAGCAAAAAACACTACACTACTTTTAAGTGGTTTGGTAAGACAAGAAAGATCCGGAAATCGGATTAAAAACGGTCGCGACGCACGATCACATTAAAAAATATTGTGTTCTTAATAAAATGCCATAGACGCTGTCAATGTATGTTCGACGGACTGGGCGCAATGCCGGTTTATTATTATTTTTTATTATTCACCACTGTCGCATTAAGGCGAGCGTTGCGAAAATTGTATTTCACGACAGGATTACCAAGACCGTCCGATCTGCAACCGGAGGGGAAAAATACAACACACAGCCCGATGTCGGTGGTTCGTCGTGTGCTGGCCGGCTCGTTTGACTCAGCAAATCAAGATGGGTGGCCGTTTTTTTATTAATTCAAAATAATATTGTCATGTTATATTTTATACAATACAACGCACAACCGAGATGTGACGTACAATTACGTTTTTAATTTCTTAGAGATAAACGCACAAATAGCCCGACCGGTAACGGCTCGACGGTTTAAAACTCGCATAATTTTATATAAAAGAATATTAAAGTCAATTTTACAGTTAATAAAGTCGAAGAAGAAGAGGTTTTGTAATCAAAACAAAACAAACTATTCCTAGCGAATATTTACACACTTACCGGAATAGTTACACGTCCCTGGTCCACCGTACTGTGGTTGGTTTTGCAGATGAGTTCCGGCACTGCTGTCTCCGTAGAATCCGCCGCCACTGGCACTGCTCAGCAAGCTATAGCCGCCACAGGGCGAAAGCGGCGGAGGAGATATGAGTGCCGTGGCCACGGGTGGGGGTTGTATAGAAGACGCCGACGTGGCCGTGGGCGACGACGTGATTTGAGGTCTGGGTGAAGAAGGCGGTGGTGACTGAGGTGACGGGGACGACGAAGAGGCCGTCACCGCGGACGCCCCGACGGACACCCCGCAGCCACCGGACTCTACGACGCCCCGGTAAGCGGAAGCTGTCTGTTGCATGCTGCTGCTGCTAAATAACACAAAATCAACCAACGACATGAGATTAAAAAAAAATACTCGGCCTTTTTTGGGAACAGTTAGGCTCTTGTCTATTTATTATACTGCAACTTAAATAGTATGTTTTGTTTTGATAATAGTAAAATTACCAATCTAATCGTGCATAAAACTTTTTTGGAACCAGACGTGTTATATTATGTTTAACATATTATAGAAAATATGAACCTCCAGCTATCTTATCTCCTGCAATATCTCTATTATCTCGCACGCTTTTTCGGACTATCACTGTATCTCCGCAGGTATCCTCTACCCTGATCCTAGGAACCGGTTTAAATACTCGGTTTATTTTCCTCCCTTATTATTTACATAATACATATATTAGCTATCTCGATCGACTTGCTCTGATCTGTTCGGTTGTTCAAGCAACACTTGTATATGTACTACCTTTTATAATAAAATTAATTAATCATTTTTTTTCTATCTTCCCTAACCATCGTACACACTCATAAAGTCTCGAGGGGAACGTTCAACGTTAAGAGCGAAATTGTATATAATTAATCACTAAAACGCGAAATCACTCTCTAAGGTGTCTACCGAACTGATTTCGAAAAAAAAGTTTATGTTATAAAGTTTCTATAGGAACTCAAGTACCGATGGAATAAAAAAAAACTTAGTTGGGTGACCTAGTTTTATACAAATATAATGTATACATATTATATAATTAAACAACCACTAGATCACGCTACTTTCGTGACGCTATTTCATGTCGTTATTTTGTGTCCTTTTCGAGCTGGGAGACCAAGGCTAAACCATGATGTTCCATGCTAAAAAAAATCATCTATTTTATGTATAGAATAACACATCATGTAGGCATTATAATATTGCACATCCGCCAACCTCATGTAATGGTGCTGGTGGTAATCCGCCGCCGTGCCGTATTTGTCTGCAGCGTTGAACTCTGCTGCCTTTGCCGTAGTCGCCGCCACCGCTACAGCTGTTGTAGTCAAGTTACAAGCCGGTCGGCCCTGCAGCCGCCACTGTGTGATTCACTGTAGACAATCGCCCTCGGATCTCTTAATGTCGACGGATAATTTTACTGCAAAATCAACGCATAAAACAATAATTAGACATAATTAAAAATAGTACGCCGGTGCCCATTCAAATCAGTTTAGAAGAAAAAATAATTTTGACCCCTCGTACTTGGCCACAAAGAAATCATGAAGGCGAGCGACAGTGTGACCACTTAAAAAAAAAATACACTTGTTGAACACTGCACAGTACAGTCTTCATCTACTATACAGATCAATAGATCAATTCTTATTTCCTATGATATGTTTATATTATAACTGATAAGCAATATGATTTGGTATCAAACGATTGCTGTAGTGAAACAAATTAAAAATATTTACCGGGGAAATGTAATTTCGTCATTTTGGTCACATTGCAGTTCGCCTTTTCGCTCACTTCATAATATTATACTTATAGCGACCCCCTGGGCTGTATCAAGAGAGGGCGAGAGAGAAGTAAGTACTATTTTTTTTTTATGATACTATGCTTATAAATGATGGTGACGTATTAGAGAATAGAGTGTAGTCTTTGATGGGTTCTCCCCGTAAACTCAATGCCACATACACACAACCGTTAAAACAATAATCATAACGCATTGGATGGTAAAATACAATATATACTTAACAAATGTCGGCGTAACGGGTGTACACGACTATTATATAAAAACCGCGTGTCAGTAGTATACCTAATACAAACAATTTGTTGTTTCGAATCAGCTTTTTAACCAGCAAAATATTTCACAAAAAAAAAGTACATTCTAGGACAAAAGACAATGGTTATTGTTTGTTTGAATATCGATGAAGAAATAAAACATTTCGCAGTAGTAACCTGTAACACCATAGCGTCCTATACAATAAAGGTACCTACGCCGCAAGTGCAGAGGTGGCCAAATAATTATGATATCAAAATATCATTGCCACTAACATCAATCACGTTAGACTGGACGATTATTCAAACCATTTATATAAACATTGTCACGGTTTTTTATGTAATTCATATTCAGCCGATTTCACCAAAATTTGTTAAGGATTTAACTTATTGCTAATTATATTTAACAATTAGTTAGTAAAATTTGGTTTTCAACGAGATTTGTTAGCCTTGAGATGTTGTTATTTCGTTAACTTTACAAATAGAATTTAATAATAGTAGTGGAACTTACTTAATTTAACCAGATGTTAAATTTAAATGAATTGTTAACTAACATTATGTTAAGAGTGTATTTAATAATAGTTTGTGAAACCAGCCGATAGTATGTTTATAAATTAATTATGTACCTATTTTTTGTAAACGACGTCTCTTGTCGAATAATATAGCAAAATTATTATTCTGAAAACTAACAAAAAGAAAAACCACAAAATTCAAGAAGATACACAAATGAAATTCATAAAAAACAAGTAATTATATAAATAAACTAGTCGTCAAAAATAAACGGTCGACAAATGTTTTATTATTGTATCCGAACAAGGATATATAGCAACAACGGCCAGGATATTATTATATTATATAATAAACCTTCTTGGAACCAAACACCACAAGTTGGATTAAAAAATGATCAATTATCGCGACAGTTGGTTATTTAAAATTATACAATGTCGTTTTACATAAAAAAAAAGGGGGAAATATAAATGATTACTTATTCATATCGGTCTTTTAGTGCGATTAAAAACATGATTATAATTTATTAGCATACCTATGATTTGTATTTTACTGCCTTGAACTCTTGTACAATAATTAAACGCGTTGTTTCCTAATATAATTACTGAAGAAGGTAAAAAAAATCTCAAGAATTAATTTACATAATGTCGACTTGTCATTTCCCGTCCATTAACTATTTTATTTTATGATAATATTGCGTTTCATATAAAACTTTCCACCCACTCCTATTATTATTATATAAAGTGATCGCTTGTTGCAGGCTCGGCGCCACTGGTTGTCTCTACTATTATCTTGGATTAGGGTGGGGCAGGGGGAGTCTACAGTTTATTTTTTCTCCCTCATTACTACTCATATTTGCTTTAGAAAATGCTGATTTTAAACTAAATACCAGTATTTTTCCTCATTCCTTATCTCAATTCAACCACTGGTCTTGATCCATAGACGTTATGTGACCGAAGGGAACACAACCTAAAATGCTTTATTTAAATTAATATTGTCTTATCAGTTATAAGTTTCACATGGGCAAACATGACTTATACATTTTTTTCTCGGGTTTTAGTCTCCAAAATTTGGTATTCTTTAAATTTTGTCCTTTCCATTTCTCTTCCATATATGCGGGTAACAAATTATCATAATAATTAATGCAGGCCTAATAAAAACATGTTGTCTAGTACCTAAATTCGAACGTTGGGATTATGTACACTAAAAAGCAACTTATGCTTAAATAAACACAAATTTCGATTGGCTATTCAGCATAATTTATAACATAATACACTGTATAGCGAATTATACGCGGTTTCTGGTAATAATTTTGCATTGCCAATAAAGAAACAAATTAAACCCTATAATGGATATATTAGTTAATAACTTTCTTTTACTCTTAAAAATGTATTGATTATTTATAAAAAAAAAAACCAAGAAGTTTGATTACAATAAAGATACATAGCACGTCCAAAATAAATTTCATGAAACATTTTGTAGTGGCGTTTCCCCATTTTGTTGTAGTAATCTGTGGGTTTTATGAGTATGAGAGATAGATGTCAAAATTAATAGTTCACAGAACCGCCATTACCAACTTTTAAAATTGCTGAACTTCCTAAACCCTTTTATTTCATTTTTTACGAAGCCCAAATCCGTCATATAACCGTAATCGTTTTAATATGGATATTTTTTGGGCGGGGGGTTATTCCATAATTAGCGTCACGTCACTGAAACAATATAGATGAGTACCTAAAGTATTTGCCCAAAAAAAACATGATTCGATTTTTTCCGAGCAGCTAAAAATTCAGAGATTACAGATAAGAGATAAGATACCCGGCCACTTTGTTCCAACTTTTTGAAGTCGTCTTCGACCAACGACACATACACCGCTCATCCTCGTATCAATGACCATTTAATTTCAACAAACATTCTCGGAGCTGTTTTACGCTGCATTTTTTTTTATAATATCATTATAAAAAAAATTATACAAAAATAAAAATACACAAAATCGCATGCGAATTTCTTACATACATGTAGAAGTAAGTGTGTATTATTGCCTTATGGTACGCTATTGGTCTCGGTAAGGATTGGAATTTCGATCGTGAAACAAAACGAAGGCGGCAGCGTCAACGGAATTTACGTTATATATTATAAAAAATAAAATAAAAAACACCGGAGGGAATGTAAGAAAAAAACTCGACCGACGCACGGCGACACGTATAATATATATATATATATGTATATACACATTTAACACGAGATAACATCATCATCGGCATCGGTGGCGTGCCGTGTGGCCGTGGGTGGGCCTGTAAGCGCTCGCGACAAATTTTGAATATTTTTTTTATATATTATCACTTTACCTTACTCGTGCCGGGTGTGTTTTCCACGTTTAATAATCATAATTGTTATTAATATGCGCCAGAACAAAAATAAGACATGCCGGGTTAGTCAAATAAAAAACGCGTTATTTTTTATCGTTGTCATTATGTTTTCGGCGATAAATAATATTTCCTTGCGCCCGTGAATACATTATTATTATTATTGTACAATATAGACTGGTACTGATACTGTGGTAACTGGTTTGACAATGTCAGTATAGCGAGCAACAGGTGCGCGGCCAATTAGGTAATATTGTTAATCCCGAGACGACCGGCAACGGAACATTGTTATAACTTAGATCTTGATCAAATTTAAACTTAAGATAAATCGCCAATTATTTTTTGATTTTTTGTTTATATACTAAAATTTGCAACTCCAATAAAATAACAAAAACAAACAATATATCGAAATGAATTATCAACAAATTTAAAAACGCTTAAGCGCAGATAAACATCTCGTCTATTTACTTGTAAATATTTGGTGATTTGACAACAATTCCAAGACACTTTGGTTCTGATTCGTGCAAAACTATTTTGATAGAAAATATTTGTATAAACATTAAATTTTTTTTTAGAGAAATGATTGTGATACCTAGTCTGGGGGAAAAAAACCAATAATCAAGCATCATTACTGTATTAATAAGTATGCACTTAAGTTTAAGCTCTAAATTAAGATTTTGCGAAAGTTTCCTATAGTTAACGGCTTATTAAATTAATGGGTAGCGTCCAATTTAAATGCCGATAAATTTTTAAAGCCAAAAAAATGAGATTAATACAACATTTTGTTTTGTATACATAAATAAAACAAAAGGTTTAAAAACATAGAACTATACTTTAAGTTTTAAACTGACCACAAAACCATGATAGTTTAATTAATACGAATAAGGCGTGTTTCGGTTAATCAACAATAGAAGATAAGTTGGAACGTCAAGGTTAGAGGGTTGGAACTCATAAATTTTCAAGAACGGTCGAGTTGATTACGTTGAAACTAAAGCTTAATGAAAAGTGTATATAAGAAGAATAATATGTGAAGAATTTAATAAATATTTAGTTCAAAACTTATATTATCTTATTAACTAAATACTAAAAAAATATATTAACATAAGTTATTAGTAAAAGTTAAGTTAATCAAAAACAATTTAAAATTAATTTAACAAAAAGAAAAACTTGTAATAATATCAATTTGTATTGTATTATTAGTAAATAAGGAAAATGGCAACTTAAAATTTTAAATAATATGGTGTTGCGATTCTTACAACTTGCTTCTTTACGTATTATAAAACGTTAAGTATCTCTGTCTGTTAGTGCGCTAACTCTTAATCCACTAATCCAATTTACACGTTTTTTTAGTTTATAAAATGTTCTCTATGGTTTGTGACATAAATATTATTATGTTGTTTTGAAAATATTTCACAAAAAAAATGTATAAATTATTATTTGTATACTTAGTGTGAAATTGAAGTTAGGACCCATTACTTTGTGTGGCATAGGCACATGCCCAACTTGCCTATAGGTTATTATAGCCTTGTTCCTTAGATTTATTTTAAAGTATTCACACTCTTGATATTTCACGATAAAAATTGTTTTTAACAAGTTACAGCCCATTGAAACTGATATAACTTTTCAAGTGTCGCATTTTAGCTTTAAGAATCTTTTTTCACACAGAAAAAGTTTTCGAGTTTATAATGAAAACTTGGGAAAAACAAAATAAATTAAAATTGATATTGATATTTATAAATTATATTGTATGTTATGGATGTCCTATATCTACCTATAATATATAAGTCGGTTGCATCCGTTGTAACAACAATGGCTGGCCCAGTGGCATTGTGTCAGCGGCCATCTTCTTCTCTCATCCCTCGTCGTACCGTTCTCCCCCCGGCCACACTAGTATGGGAAACTGGGTCGCGGCTAATGATGGGCATGTCCCGATACTAATAATAATAATATAGATATACACGATTCATTGCAGATAACAGCGTGTCGGTATAATAATATATAATAAAATATAAATGGCCTCTCTCCCTCGCGTATACCACACAGTGCCGGCTACTATCTTATTGGTTCGCATTGTTTTTCGCATTGAGGATAATATTATTTTGCCACTGACATAGAGCGAAGTAGGCTAGTAGCAATAGTTAGGCCGAGGCGATAAACACAATGGTAGGTGTACATAATGGGAACACCGTTCGTAATTCGATAACGATGGTATTTTTTTCGAATAACTTACAAGCGAAGATACTTTTGAACAATTCAAGAGTAGGTATAGGTGCGCATGTCTATAAGACGTATATTAAGCATTGTTGCATTCTAGCCTTAGACGAATAATGTGTTTGTCCTATAGTATAAGTTCGAGTTATCGTAGCTATTCCGCATTGTCTGGAAATCTATATATCGGTCTAACAAAATTTGCTTGAATACATTATAATTATTATTTCATGCCATAATTCATAGATTGACATTAATAAGGTTATAAAATATAATATCGCTTAGCTAATTTAATTTCTGGGTACTATACCTGATCGTGTTAACTGCTAATAAGTAATAAGTAATAACATGTACCTAAAGGTATTTATTTAAAAGGACATATTCTTCCAAGTCGTCTCTTTACTACAATTTCTACTTTGATTCTAGACGAATTGTTATTATTTTAACTATAAAATGAAAATCAATTAAATTGTACCCTAAACAGCTGATGTAGATACTTATATTATCATCTTGTACCGAGTGGTGTTAAAATACTAGTAAAAAAGTATCGAAATTAAATTTTTATAAACTTTTTTAGTAATCTTGGCTACAATTTTTGCCACCAAGGGTCTTACGATCAAGGTAAGAACACCGTGCAGTGTACGATAACGTGTTTCGTTCATTCCAGGCTTGGCTTAATACTGTCATCGCATTTGTTATAATATTATATTATGCGGCTCGCAGTGAAACAACAATTATTATTTGTCGTTTTTACCGTCTCTGGTACACATTATAATAACATTATATATTGTGTGCACACACAATAATTATTAACCCGCGATCGTTGTCGGTCGTAGGCAATTTGTCGTACTGTCCACCGAACCACACAACGTCGACAGTCCTATACCATATTATATATACATTTTTTTTTTGTTTAAAGGAAAGACACACACACACACACACAGAGAAATAAAAATATATAACCGGGCTTAGGTAATAATTCGCTCGTCTACGGACTGTCCTCTATAATACCACGTCGCCAACACACACTTTATACTGACATTTATACACAGATATAATATGTATAAACACAAAACATACATATTATACACTTACTATTTATATGTGTGTTTATAAGATACACACACACTCGGCTGGTATGGTGGCTGGACCGGGACGATCGAAAGATCCTTGCTCGCGATATTGTTAGGCCGTCTTTCCTGCATTACTTGTACACAGTACACACACATATGATTATTATTCATTCTTAAATATGTGAATGTATGTATATAGTGTGCGCTCATAATATTATATATATTATGTATATTCGTACCTACGCGGTATTTTATAATATGTGTTACTTGTTTGTGAGCGCGGAATCACCTTGACCGACGATTGTACAAAATACACTGTGATATGATATTGCAATATAGACCGATCGTGATAATGGCCGTTTATTATTTGCGCTAAATTCATGTGTTAAAATGTTTTTTTGAAAAACAAAACATAATTTAAACATTCATGTACAGATCACACAAATGTCTCAGTAGCAAATTTTTTGTTATCACATCAAAACTTATTTACTCATTTACATGCACATTTCCTCTAACCTAAACTCTAATTATTTAAGTTTACTAATTTTTTTTAGAACCAGATATTTAAGTTAAAAATAAATAAATAAATATTTATACTAAATAAAAAAAAAAGTTGATCATATAACAACTCTAATAAAAAAAAAATCGACTTGTATCACAGCATTATTAATATTTTATTTTAGAATAAAAATAATATACTTATAAAAAATAACTAAAATGTGGTGAATGATTTAAGATACATATATTAAGAATTTAGTTAAGGACCCATAAAAATAGGTCAGTTAATTAGGAAGTAATTTGTAGTTACGCGCGTGAATATATTATGTATAGGTTGAATTTTGTGAAATAGGGATGGGCCATTAATTTTTTTTTAGAGAATATAGATAAAAAACAAAAAAACAATTGACAAGTATTTTAATTTCTTCGTCACAATTCTACCAAGTACAGCTTTAAGATTCATGAAATTAGTTTTATAAATAACCCAAAAATATTCGTCTTCCTAGAACTAGGAATTCGGAAAATATGACATAAGGTATTTAATATTATAATTAAATACATGTTAATAAGTTAATACTTATATAAATATGAAAAAAGGTGTATTGGTTAAAAGGGTTTCAGATTTTAGCAAACTTTTATACAACAAAAATAACATTACCTACTTGAGCATAAAATTTCACTTTTTAAAATGGTATCGTAATCGATATGAATTTAAGTTTAAATCATTTCTAAAACAATAATGAAGAAAACAAAAGGTTTAAAAACATAGAACTATACTTTAAGTTTTAAACTGACCACAAAACTATGGTAGTCTAATTAATAAGAATAAGGCGTGTTTCGGTTAATCAACAATAGAAGATAGGTTGAAAAAAACTTGGACTAAATAAAATTTGCCATTTGAATATGTTACAAAATATATTTTCGCATAAAATGAATTAAACAAATTGGAATAAACTAAGTGGAAAAAATTATAATTTGACACAATGTTCTTACATAATATAGAGGGTGTTTGAGAAGTGTAAAGTTTTTACTGGATCGTAGCTAGTATTTTACTTTGGAAGTTTCAAACAACCATATTGTTTTAGTATAAATGTTACAGGTTTAGATACGTGCACTTATTAAACCTTAATTAGTTTTATTAATAGACGTTAAATTGATTTCCTTTTGTTAAAAAAAAGTTGTTAGAAAAAAATTAAGGAAAATAACTATTAATTCCCATAATACATGATACTTCTATACCAATCTAGAATATTAGTTACCTACTGAATTAGCTTACTTCTTTCACAAATTAAATTGAACAATTACTTAAAAAACCAAAACCATTTCTTAATCAAAGTTTACAATTAATTGATTTCTTTAATTTACATAATATGAATGAATCTCTAATATGAATATTACTCGCGCTATGTGTATCATTTCTTATTAAATAGATAATCATAAAACCCGTCGGGTAGGTACCGTTGTTCTGGAGGTTATCCGCGGCATTTTGGCAGACAGCAGCGACGGCGATAAAAACTCTCTTGAACTTCACTCGAATATATTATATTATAATGAAATTTAAGTAATAAAAATATATTTATATTATATATAAATCGCACTCAAACGTGTTATCGAAAAATTAAACGTGAAATATCAAACATTTAATTCGCGATGGTATTATTATTATAATTTTTTCTTCTAAATAAAATAATATTCCACTTGGTTTTTTTCGGCCGGTAACACAATATTATTTCAATGTAATAATCTCGACAACTCGAGGTCGACGTCAACTTAACATTTGACAGAATACTTTACATTAAAAAAAAAAAATTAATACTTATATTCATTGATAATTTTTATGTTTAAGACTATACGACGACGGACCGGTCGGATGCGGTTGTTATAACGATTGTGGCACCGGCACGACTAGCGCGTTGGACGGCATGCGCGTTTGTGAGTATAGTCTATAGTGTGTACTGGGGGAAATATAAAAAAACAGAAATTAAACCGTCGCCGCATTCTGGGGACACGTCGGGGACGACAGGGGGCGCGGTGGCAGAGAGACGCACGCACACGTTACTGTGGAAGAGTCTACAACATATATAATACAACACAGTTATATGTACAGGTATAAGGTAGGTATAACTGTATAATAAGCACTAAAATTTTCTATAATACATTTTTTGGTCCGCACATATGGACGGCATATATATTAAGAAGTTATAGGTAAAGGCAATGTATTGCCTTAAATACATATTAATTTAAAGGCTTTACTGCGTTGAGTAATTATTCGTTCAATAATGTAAGGACTATTTTATTTTTTATTTTTCGGATTATCGCAGCATCTTAGTCAGCGGTTTAAAAATGTTCTTTTAATCTAAACATGTTCACAGAAAAAGATACCATTCAAAGTGATTTTAGAGATAAAACACCCACTATAAAAAAGATAGAGGACAAGATTTCCGAGAGAGCCTCAGATGCGTTTTGCATTATCAATGCTAAAATAAACTTTTTTCTGATTGATATTTTCAAAAACGCATCTTAAGTTCTCTCGGAAATCTTGTGCTCTGTATTTTTTATAATATGAGTTTTATCTCTTAATCACTTTACGTTAGATAAAAGAAAATCATCGATAAGACGGAAGGAAGGTTTTTTAAAAATACTTTTTTTTTACACAATATATAAAGCCCAGTTGTCATAAAATAACAATAATGTGTTGTCAAACAACCGTAAATGTGAAAGAAAAAGCTACTCATTTAAAACGCAACTAATATTTAAACAAATTATTTTTCTAATACAATAATAGTTTACTGTTTAAGTTTTACAACAATTAATTGTATTTACATACTATCATGTTCATTCATTTCATGAAAAATCAGTCAGCTCCAAAATTAAACACCAACACAATACGCCCAATACAATTGCAGTTTGATAAGATAACTTTATTATTATATATTATAGCTACGTAGACCTAATTAAAACATTGAATCATTTTATGGGTCAAATAAAAAAATAATAAACTACTTCAACTAGCAGACATAGTCCATGTATTATTTTACATTTTATGGTACCTATGTAAACGTAAATATTTGTATCAATAACAACAGAAAGATGTATCTTAATTCAATAGCGGATATTCTATAGAATTAAAGTAATCTAACTTGTATAATTCATGAAGTAGAATAAGAAGTAAATTAGACACAGCAAAAACATGTGCAAAAAAAAAATAGCTACACTATACTAATTGTCTAGGTCATCATCGACCACAATGTCATTATCTACCGTCTAATAGGCATCCGTAATAAATAAGAGAATACTCGATCGAATAATGGGATTTAGACTTAATCGGTATAGCAACATAGAGATCAAAACATGGATACTGGAGCGCATCGATAAAACAATTAGCGTGCTTACAGCGCTGACAATTTAATGTTAAATAAGTATATTGGTAGTTTTGAATTGTTGTATTTTAACTGTGCAAATATTATTTTAAGTGTTTTTTTTCTCTTATAGACATACGGATAGCGACAAAATTTTAAATACGGCCCAGCACAGTGTTGTAAAATATAACGTTTTACTCACAAGACAAGGGGAATTTAAATTATATGTAGTAGGTCATTACATTCCGCAAAATACTCGGCTAAACGGTTTGATGTTTTTTTTTCAGTTTTGCAACCAGGAAACCGGTGCAGACGGGTGGTTCAGGGTTTACTGCAGGGTCGACCGGCACCACAGAAGCGGTTATGCGGGGGCAGCACGTGGTGGTATTTCAACAATAGAAACAGAAGAATCCGATTATATTGTATATTTTGTATGCGTGGGAGGAATAGAGAAGGTCGGCCGCATGCCGCCAAAAAGGGTTTGCGCATTCTATACGCGGTTAAAACTATAAAAACACTCTGTTTCTCGGATAATAAGTAATTATGTACCGATTTGATTGTCTAATAAGGTTTGTCAAAATGACTAAACTCCCCACCCCTCTCGAGTTTCCCGTGAGCTCCCTCGAATGCGCGTCTAACCTGAATGCATAAAACACCACAATAACAAGAATATCAACAACGTCAAACATGTTTTTGAAATATATTCAAATAATAATACTACTAAACGCAATATCCTTCCAAAATTCCCGACCTTTTAACGGGCAATTTACATTATTATTTTATCGTAAAGTTCTTGACTTCTTCCAGTCGGCGTACTTCTTTTTTTTCGACAGACTAGACGAGAAATTGCATTTCCCGAGCGAAAAACAGATAATGGAAGGCCAAGAAACAATATACCTACACAATATATATTTTATAAAATAATATGTATGTACGTTATTTTTATCCGAAAGAATGATGAGTACTAATACAACACTACACTACCTACCTACTACAGCGCACATTATATTATCTATACATACAGCAGTGAAACACGATACGCCTTGGACCTTTTCGCGCAGTGCACTCCGCCACGGTCCGCCGTCCACACAATAATATGCTTCTGCGTTAGCCCGTTTGGATGTTTAACGAAGGGTAGTCGAGTTGATGGACGAGTCCTTCCATCAAATATAATTCCCCTTCTCTCCTGTCCCTAGCCTCGCCACCTCCCCTCTACCCGTTTACCGAACCACCCTTCACTATAATATAATATAATATTATTATTGTATGTATGTACATACACGACGTGCATTGTCTCGCAGAACCCGTGCTTATCTTACACTCATCTGTATATTATGTATGTATCTGTTTTATGCCAGGACGGACATGACTTGACGGGAGACCCTTTACGTTTTATTAGGGCCCATAACTACATCAATACAGAAGAAAAATAATAATAATAACAAGCGGCATGAATAACCTGATCGTATTATTCTTTCTTAGCGCCCGGCTGAGCGTGTGCACATTGTATCATTCATGTGTGTGTACACACGCTTTTTGGATATGCAGGTATTATTTATATACCTATATGTATTATACGCGCACACATTAAATGAAGACTCGACTTGTGCATGTGTTGTACCTATGTAGAGTATCTATACATATTGTACCAGTGCACGGCTACCCTCTTTTGCGCGGTGCGGTGCGGTACACAAACACAAAACAAAAATAACAGTATATAAGAGCCTACTCGAAATGATGAACATTCCGGACTGATGCCGCCGATGTCGGGTCGTCCGTGTGCAAATAATCACATTTTAAAGTAAGTAAACACGTATAAACATCAAGGGACAGCCAAGTGTCTCCCCCCCCCCCAAAAAAAAAAAGAGACAATAACCAATAACGCATGCGAACCCGACAATACATCCATTAGCGATATCAAAACGGCGTCTTAATTTAATCCCTCACATTTTCTCCGCAAATTCTATATATTGGCAACGACAGCATATTAATATAGGTTGACATATTATTATAGCCTACTATAACCTATAGCGCGGTGTAACGGTAAAAAATGATAATTTCTTGAAAAAAGTTGCCTTTTTACACGTACAAAAAAAGGGTAAAAATTACCAATAATTACAAAAATGTTGTATTAATATTATGTAGCTTCATCATCATATTGTAGCTTAACGGGCCATGAAGGCCCAACGCTGACATCATATTGAGATGGTTTCTTGACGAATTCGCTATCCGGGACGGGTCGGCGGGTAGGTTAGGTATGGCGGTTCTTTAACTTTAACTTATAAATATGTTTTTTTTTGCATTTTACTAGATTTTATTACATCATCAATAATACTATACCAATAATAGGTAAATAGTCAATATACCTGCGTTATCAACCATATAATTTATGATGGAGTACATTAGAACCTTAGTTCTTTCATTTATTCTATAAAACATATTGGCAACAATTTTAAGTTATTGAAAATCCGTTAAACTCGCCTTCAGGCATATAACACATACAAAAACTGAAATATTGGTTGACCTTATTTTATAATAAAATGCATTTCCAATGTGAATGCATACCTAGTATAAAATCCGCAATCGTTCAAAAATCGATACACATACAATAGATTAATTTTAAAAGCGGAAAAAAGGTCCTATTCCTACAAAAAAGTAAATAATAAGAATTAACCCTTTTTAACATTTTTATGTACATATTGTCCGTTTCCGCGTTTTCTTAAACAGGTCCAACATTTAACCCTCTCGCACGAACACCAGCGGTGGCGTGTGAACAGAAAAATCTAGACCGGTCGTGCGCACAAACAATACACTTTTATTAACCCTTCTAAATACGGTGTTTTTTCTCAAAAAAAATCAAATGGGTACTTAATAAATTTCTTGAACGTTTCCGCGTTTTCTCACAACCGTGTTACCCTTTCGTACGACCTCGACCGCGTCCCCGTCGTCCCTATTGCGCTTATTGTTATTACAATAATTTCTTCAATAGACGACCCCGCACATTTAACCCCTTGAATTTTAGACGACAGGTCGACTGCAGTTTGTTCTCCTAATTTCTTCAGACACGATTTGGACCCTTTACCCTGAATGCTAACCCAATTCACTTTACTATATGGATCAATTATTTTTACTTTTTTTATTATTATTATAGTTATTGCATAATGCATTATTTTTCACAATAGCTACTCTATATATTTTTGCAAATGTTTAATGTGTTCTGAACTGTGGAAAACTCCTCTGAAATTCTTGTATTATTTTCAACAACCAGTTGAAATCATTGGCGCGACTGTGTATCGAAACAAAATAAAATCGACAAATTTTTTTCACACGCGAAACTGTACTATTTTTGGAATGTCGTAATGCTGTCTCTAGTTGGGTATGGCGGGTTAAAAATTTAACCGTTTTTTCTTTTACGAAATGTAACTGATCAAAAACATACTAACAGTCAACAGAGCGTTTTTTCCTTTAGTAACTCAATTGATTTTTTCATATTGTCTTACCCGGTTTCCTACCCAAGTTTTATTCACGACTTAAGTATTTTCCCAACTCCTAAGCCTT